CACTGGACCATCAGGGAAGGCCCCGTGCTGCATTTTATTCACCCCTGTATCCCCGGCACCCATGTACAGCGCTTGTCAGTTGCAGGCGATCAGTGAATGTCTTTTCAATGTATTCGTTCAGTCGTAAGCATCGATCTCCTCAGATATCTACCCAAGATAAATGAAAACATATGTCCACACAAACACTTGTAGGTAATGTTCATAGCAGTGTTATTCATAATAGCTCCAAAATGTAAACCATCCAGATATCCATTAGTTCGTGAGTGGGTAAGTAAAAGATGGCATATCCATGCAAAAGAAGACTCTGCAGTGATAAAAAAGGAAGAAACTGACAATATATTCTACAACATGGATGAAGCACAAAGACATTGTGTTAAGGGAAATAAGCCAGACACAAATGACACTATAGTGCATTATTCCATAAATATGAAATTCTAGAAAAGGCACGACTGTAGAGACGAAAGCAGATCAATGGTTGCCTGGGCCTGGGAGTGGGAGTGGGGAGTGACTGCAAACAGGAAGAAGGGAACTCCTGGGGGTGATGGAAATGTTCTAAAACTGGATTGTGGTAAAGGTTGCACAACTGTATACATTTACTAAAAATCATTTAACGGTACCCCTACAGTAGGTGAGTTATATGGTATGAGAATTATCCTGAATAAAGCTGTTAAAAATGTTTAAAAACAGTCTCCTTATTTAGTCATTTTATCTTAACTTACGTTCTGGGAATATTACTTCTGTGGGACACTGTGCCAGAGACTGCTAATTGAGTCAACTGTTTAATGACAGAACCTCAATTTTTTATTAAACTATAGCTGACTTACAACATTGTGTTTGTTTCAGATGTACAGAAGAGTGATTCAGTCATATATATATACTTTTCAGATTCTTTTCCATTATAGATTATTATAATATATTGAATATAGTCCCATGTACTATACGGCAGGTCCTTGTTGTTTATCTATTTTATATATAGTAGTGTGTATCTGTTTGTTCCATACTGCTAATGTATCCCACTCCCACTCCCCTTTTCCTCTTTGGTTTATTTTCTATGTCTGTGAGTCTATTCCTGTTTTGTAAATAAGTTCTTTTGTGATATGTTTTAGATTTCACATAAGTGATATTACATGATGTTTGTCTTTCTCTGTCTGACTTACTTCACTTAGTATGATAATCTCCAGGTCCATCAATGTTGTTACAAATGACAATATTTTGTTCTTTTTTTCATGGCTGAGTAATATTCTGTCATATATATAGTGCACATCTTTTTTATCCATTTGTCTGTTGATGGACATTTAAGGATCTTGATTTTTAACTTGACATGTGGCCGAGTGAATTTAAAAAAAAATACCATATTTCCCAGCCTCTTCTGCAGCTTGGTGTGGCCATGTGACTGAGTTCTGGCCAATGAGATGTAAGCATAAGTGATGTGTAGTGTTTCCAGAAAGGCTATTTAAGGGCCATGACTCAGCTTTAATTTTTTCCAATTTGTCTTTCCTTTTTCCATCCAAAAAAAAAACATGGACTGGTGTTCCAGCAGCTATGGACCATGAAGTTACCTGAGGAATGAAAGCTAAAGATGGTGGAGCAAAAATGCTGAATCCTGGGTTGCTGATGAGACCACAGAGCTCCAAGCCTCTCTTGAAATGGCTGCTTCTGAGATTTCTTATAAGAGAGACAAAAAAAAACTTCAATCTTTAAAAAAAAACAACACACATTTATTTATTTGGGTGCCCTGGGTCTTAGTTGCAACATGTGAACTCTTGGCTGAGGCATGTGGGATCTAGTTCCCTGACCAGGGATCAAACCCATGCCCCCTGCATTGGGAATATGGAGTCTTAGCCCCTGGACTGGCAGGGAAGTCCGCTCCACTGGATAGTTTTGCATCTGGCCAGCAGATGAGGATAGAAGAGTTTGGAGGATCACATAGGAAGTTTTAGAGGATGCTTAGAAATGAGATATACTTTTATTACTCCTGTCCTGATTCCATTAGAGCTCAGTCACAAGGACCTATCTGATTACTAAGAAATGCCGTTTGCTATGAGCCTAGGAGGAAAATGAACTGGGCTGGGGAAAGCAGCCATTTCACAAATATATACGCAAGAACAATAGAGGACTTCCCTGATGGTCCAGTGGTTAAGAATCCGCCTGCCAATGCAGGGGACATGGGTTCGATCCCTGGTTTGGGAAGATTTCACATGCTGCAGAGCAACTAAGCCCGCAGGCCACAAGGACTGAGCCAACGAGCTACGACCACTGAAGCTCCTGCACCTCAAGCCTGTGCCCCTCGACGAGAGAAGCCACCACACTGAGAAGCCCTCGGGCGGCAACTAGAGAGTAGCCTGCGTGCGGCGACGAAGACCCAGCGCAGCCAAAAATAAATAAACAACATTTTTAAAAAAGAAGCTCACAGTCTAAAAACAGACAAGTGAATGGAGGCGGAAAGACAAGAGAGAACGTGGTCAGGCAGGATGCAGCTCGTGTTCGTGGAGCTGCTGTCACAAAGTTCCCAAACTGTCGGAAGCCCTTATGCGGCTCCCCTTCAGAGCTCCTAAGGATTGCTTTCTCTGTAAACAAGGATGTTCTATATGGTACAGAGAGTCATGCATCACTGGTGTCACCCCGGCATCAGAACTCCGGGGCCTCTAAGTGGCAACCACGTCTGTCCCTGCCAGCTGCTGTAGCATCCAGCTCTGCAAGGGCTGCACCTGACTCCACGTAACTGTACCCCAATCATTCTTTGCCCCGTGGCTCTGCTGCACACTCCTTGACACCGGGTTTCGGGGCCACCCCAGAACCCCTCTTGGCACCTAAGCACAAACAACTGGAGTGAATAAGAAATCATTCAAGATGAACTGGTAGATAAGTTTCCTTCCATTCCACCTCCCACAGGCTGTACTGAATCTCATTTTATATGGCTTCTGAGAGGACGATCCCTTGAGTGGGAGCCATCAGCAGCACTTAGAGGAGGAGATGGACAATTGTCTTGGCACTGGCTCTTCCCTTTTCCCTGCCTTCCTCTTTTTGCCTCTCATTCCTGCCCTACAGAGTCAGGCTCTGCATTCTGGAAAACCCAGGCTAAGACGTCCCCATGGATGGATACAGCCAGAAGACACTTAGCTGTCTAGGTTTCCTCGCCAGCCTCTGGATGCTGCGGAAGTGTTTTAAGGGTCTGATTCCACTCACCTTTCTCAGTTTTACAGACCAGATTCTTCGAAGGTCAGGACTGCTGCCTCTCCTGAGTACACTGACCAGATCTTTCCTTTGCTTGTACCTGTACCATTCATTTGTGAATCAATCATGCACTCTTATTGATTACTTGTTTAGTGATACAAGTGTGTTTAAGTTCTTACGTGCTACTGACTCTTCTCGAGTTTAAGAAGAGGAATTACTGACACATCTACCTCCCCCCTCCTTCTCCCTCCCACACCTCCCAATACTGTCCATGCTTCTATTGCTTAGGCACATACACTCTCTTCCCTCTCCCTGGAGTCCCATTCCTCCCCCACCTCATTTATGCTGTCATCATTTGTGGGCAAGAGATTTGAGTGAGTGAAAGGAGGACTGCTTGACTCCCATGTTGGACTCAGAAACTCTGCCTCTAATACAGTTCTGCTCCCAGCCCCTTTCCAGAAGTTAAAGTTCAGAGACCCAAGTCCCATGAGCAGTTTTAAACCCTTGATCCTGGAGTCAGACTGGAGAGGCGGTGGCTACCAGCTGCCTGGTCCTGCTTCAGCCCCTGCAGCAGCTGGTTCAGGGGGCAAGTCCACTGTCCAGTTGGGCAGGACTGGAGCTCTTCAGGATCTATGTGTCAACCTTCCCCTTGTCCTCAGCTAGACTATAAGCTCCCTGAAGACACAGATATCATCTGCCTCATTTAATGCTGTCTTTTGTGTCTAGAACAATACCTGGAACATAGCTGGTGCTCAATAAATAGTTAAGGAAGGAAGAAAGGGAGGGGAGGAGGGAAGGACCATGATACATCGTGGCCAGTCTTGAGTCAAATGAGAGAAATGTGCACAGGTGAGGTCAACAGGTGGCAAGGGGGCTGCTATCTGTATTTTCAAACTGATGAAATCTCTGGGTCTGCCAAGAAGTTGAAGAATTGGTCCTCAAAAGAGAGTTGGGGCCACAGGCTGAAAACCATAGGAATGCTGGGGTTTCAAAGACACTAAAAATATCCTCTCTCTGGGGGTGCAGTAAGGCTCTTCTAAATCATTACAGCTACCTCGGACCAAGTCAACCGTGTTCATCCTGAATGTATCAGACAAACGGCTCTTGGAATCATTGGGACTCAGATCATTCCTACTTTAAATAAGGTGAAATAAGCCTCTACAGTCAGAATCCAACCTTGTTGGTTTTTTTGTGTGTGTGTGTGGCTGCTAAGGAAACACCTGTGACGGAAGCAAACAGGGGGTAAAGTGGTGAGGTGACTTGCATCTGGGAAGAGGCAGTAATGGGATGGGATACAGACTAATCAGCCTGACAGGGCCAACTTCCCATTCCTCTCTGCCTCCGTCTATTTTCTTCATAGCACTTATCCCTACCTCTCCCCTTGTATTTACTTACTGTCCTTCTTTCTCCTTAGCATGTCCATCCCACCAGAGCAAGGTCATTGTCTTACTAACCCCTGTATCTCCTGTCTCAGATCAATGCCTGGCATTTAGTGGGCATTCAAAAATTAACTACTAACGAATGAATGGAAGAATATGAAAACAATTAGTTGAATCCCTGCCATATGCTGGGCCCTGTCCTTGAGGATGCTACAAGGATAGTGAGGGAGACAGGGCTGAACATAAACCTACCATAGCTCGACCCCTGATTTTGGAAAGGTGCATATCCAAGGCACTGCAAGACTCCCCCGAAGCGGAAACCTCCCGGGGTGTGCGGGGCGGGGGCGGGGAGGGGGGTGGTCCTTGGGAAGAAGCCCGTGTGCCAGGAGTGCCAGGGAGCCAGGGGTACTAGCAGGGATGAGGCTGGAGACAGAGCTCCAGGCTCCTTTACTCTTCGCCAGGCTCCTCGGCATTTTTTCCTGACCTACGGAACCTCGGCTCCAGAGGAATCTCTCTGTCGCGCGGGACCCCTGTCACATCTTCTCCCGGCCCCGGAGACGCCAGCCCCGGGTGTTCCAGTTGTCCTGCCCAATACCTCAGAGACCTCCACCTGCGGGAGGAACCCCCCTCCCCGGCCCCGCCCGGAGAGCGCTCCAGGTCCCCGCCCCCTGCCTGCCGTCTGCGGCGGGCAGGACCCCGCCCCGCCCTCTCAGCCCGCAGGACCCCGGCCCCGCCCCGCCCCCGTAGCCCCGCCGCTCCGTCCCGGGGGGCGGGGCCGCGCGCCGCGGCGTCTCCGAGGCGGGGGGCGCGAGGCAGGGGGCGGGGCGGCCCCCAGCGCCGGCCAATCAGCGCCGCTATCACATCCATGCAAATACGAGCACAATGGAGCGAGCCCATCACTCGCCCCTGCAAGCAAGCTTGAAATGGGCTTCTGCCTGAGCGGCAGCCGGGCTGGCCAATGAGTCTGTATTTTGGGCCGGCGCGGCCCAATGGCATGGCAGGGAAGGCGGGCCCGAGCCGGGTTAGGGTGTCCTTGCAGGGTGTCTGAGCTAAACTTCACCAAATAATAGCTGTTTGTATTTTGGCTGCTGCAGGAGCCATTTTAGGTAAGTTCTTCTCTTAAACTTTTTATTTTCCTCCCCGGCCTCGGCGGGCCGGCCTTTTCCGCGGGTCCCCAGCCCCGCCCCGCCGGCCAGGCTGGGGTGCCCCTATGAATGAAGCCAGGATGAGGGGCTGCGGCGGCGCCGCCGAGGCCCGGCCGGGGTCCGAGCTGGGGCCGGCGGCGGGCGGCCTGGCGGAGGGCAGGCGGCGGCCTGAGGCCTGAGGCTAGGGGCCGGCCTCCGCCTGCGCTCCGCTCCGGGCTCGCGCTCAGGCCGCGCTCCGGCCGGGTGGCCGTCCTTGGGAGTGCGCCGCTGCGGGCCGCGCGGAGGGGCGGGGGTCCGGGCAGCCCCCCGGCCGCGGGCCAGGCGGGCGGAGGCGGGGCGTGCGAAGGGCTCCCCCATTCCCCCCGCCCCCCGCCTCCTCGGAACCCGGCCGAGGAGGGACCCCGGTCGTGCCGCGGCGGGGCAGGGGTGACCGCTATTCTCCCCCGCCGCCCCCGCGGAGAAGTTGCTCTATTGGCGTCCTGCGTCTGTTTGCAGGGGTGGAGGAGGGTGGGCTGGTGCCAGGCTGCTGCTCCGGGAGGGGGCGGGGGCCCCCGGCGCGTCCCCGGAGCGCGCACCCCTTCCGCCCCCTTCTTACGCACTAGCGCGCACTCGCCCCGAGAATTGGAACCCTGGAGGTGTCCAGCAGCCCCGCAGCCAAGTTTTGTGCATTATTAGATTGCATGTTGGAGCGTAAAGGGGGGGAGGAATCTCTCCCTTTCAGGGTATTTCTTTCCTTGGCTGTTGAGAAGTAACGGAGTCTGTTGTTCCCAAATTTCCAGGGACGTGCCTGTCAGATTTGCAGAGGGTTGGCAGCTACTTGGTTTTTAAAAAGACGCTATTAGGAAATCCCCTCACTAGTGAGATAATTGAAATTTGAGTTTGTTTGCAGCTTCAGTTTTATTTGATCCGATTAAAAATGCATAAGCAGACACTTATATTTGTGTACGGAAAGTGTTCCTAGTTCCAGTTATGACTGCTGTGACTGTGGTTTCGGTAGTGTGTGATCTAATAAGGCACTGTAATTCGATTTTGAACCTGTAGGCCCGTATTCTCCAAATGAGGGTTTATGGACCATTAGTAGTCTGGCCAAGGTTTCTAGTGAATCCTTAACATCTCCAGGCATCTTTGGAGCTGTGTATGCGCCTTATTTCCCACCCCCTCTGCACTGCTCCTTTCTGGCGTGGCAGATCCATGAACAGAGAAGATACCCATTTAAACATTTTTACAGTTTTTAGTGTCTGCAGTATTGCCTGAAATTCGATTTTTGTTTCTCAACTGGCTTATAGGAATACCATCCGAGTAGGCTCTACATTTAGATGTACTTTGAGGGGATACGCTTGGGACCCTTAGAAAAGTCCAGGCAGGGATTACTGCTGTGTTCCTGAGACTAATTACTAGCTGTCTTTCTTACTGGGGATTTGTCCCCATCAGCTGCATAGCACAGGAGAATTTGCTGGTATTCCAAATGGGAAGATCAAGCTGGCAACCTCAGGGAGATAGTTTTCTAAACTTTGTGGTTCTCTGGGAAGAGAGAGAAGGTTTGAGATCCATGTGTGATAAAAATGATTAGGCGTGAATCAGCAAGTGAAAGGATGTATGCCAACCAGAACAGGTGGTTTCATATAAGCCATGCATGACTGTAACCAGAGGCCTGGGAAAATGTGGAGTGGTGAAATGATTAATTTTGGACTTCTTTCTGTCCCAGAGCAGAATTCCTAGATGAATTATGATGAATTATTTAAGCTTTTTTTTTTTATTAATAGACTATTAAAAACCTTTGCAGCTCCTCCCCCCCCCCCCCCCCCCCGCCTTTTTTTTGGGCTAACTTTGAAATCTCTCTTACCAGATTAGGATACTGTTCTCGGCTATAGTCTGGCCTTGGGCAAAGTAAACCTAGATCTGTTGTGAAATTGGTTGTGTCTCCTTGTGCTACCACAGTCTGCCTGGAGTCACTTTTTTTTTTTTTTTTTTAAATTTACTTATCTTTGGCTGCCCACTGGGTCTTCGTTGCTGTGTGTGGGCTCTCTCCAGTTGCAGCCAGTGGGGGCTGCTCTCTAGTTGCGTTTGATGGGCTTCCCATTGCAGTGGCTTCTCCTACTGCAGTTGGGGCATGTGGGATCTTCCCAGACCAGGGATCGAACCCATGTCCCCTGCACTGGCAGGCGGATATCTCAACCTCCGGACCACTAGGGAAGTCCGAGTCACATCTTTCATACTGCAATTATTTTTTTGCTTTTTACATTTAGTTGTTATCGCACTGTAAAGTCTTGGAATAGGATCAGCTTTCCCACAACTTTTTAAGATGCTATGGCTTTCCCATCATTTTTATAATTTATTATCAGTATAGTCGAAAGTTCTTTGAACTCATCAGTGTATTACTTTCAGACAAATCAAGCGAAACATTGAATGGCCAGTTGAAAGTGAAGTGAGAGCGACAAGTAACAAGTAACATTACTGCATTTCTGGAAGATCCTTTGGCAGTTCGTTTTTTGTATTTATTGATTTACTTATAGCTATCACAAGTACCAAAGAAAATCTGAAGCAAAATCTTATATCTTTAGAAACCACTGTCTCATTTGTAAGTTGTTTTGCCATTATATTATAGAAAACCTATCAGGAACAGCAGGCCCTGGGGCTACTGTGTCTTGGAGCTATCTGATTTAGAGAAGTTGCCAAGAAGTTTTCGAGTTTTCTTGGATGTATAACTTTGCCCCAAGCAGAGTTTGTGGTTATGTCTTCCTATGTTAAGCCGTGAGGGAACAGGCTTGTGACTGTAGGTGCCTTATGTTTTTCAACTTGCACTGGAAGACTTTGTAATAAAATCCATGGAGTCACACGTGGATTCATGTCCTGAACCCTTTTGAACAGGTTTTAGGATTTGAGGATTCTACCTGCATAAATCTCTTCGGTGCTATGACACAATGACAGTATCTAAATCAATTGAGAAGACTGTGTTCTCACGCTCTTCTCTCATCCTCTCCAGTATAGCAAGGTTTGAAATTTGTTTTTTAAATTGAAGTATAGTTGATTTACAGTGATGTGTTAGTTTCAGGTGTACAAGCAACATGACTCAGTTTTATATATATATATACTTTTACAGATTCAGTAATGCATACATATATACACTTTTTCCAGATTCTTTTCTGTTATATATGACATACTCAGCGTAGTTCCATGTACTATACAGTAGGTCCTTGTTGTTTTATTTATATATGGTGATGTGTATTTGTTAATCCCAAACTCCTAATTTATCCCTCCCCTCACAATTGTTTTATTTTTAGTAAATATTTAGTAGTTCTCTTTATACTAACATACCTCACAGAAGCTTTAGTCAAATTTAGATGAAAAGCAACAGTGGATCCCATGCAACTGCCTGCATTTCCCCCTACCAGGTTATTACTATACTGAAAACTCTGAAATACCTAAAAAAACATCTAGAGCTTAGAGATCTTGTTTCCTAGAGAAAAGTTTTGTTTGCCATAGACTACGACACCCTTGTGACGGAAGCAAAAAGAACTAGCATTGAATGAATGAATACCTGGTCTGGGTCGGGCACTTAGCCAGGTGCTGGGACTACAAGAGATGAGGGAAAAAAAAACAAAACAAAACCGTGTTTTCTTACCCAATCCAGGAGCTCCATGGACTGCAGCTCAGAGAAATGAAGTAACTTGTTCAAGGCCATGAAGCTGGTTCAGGTTAGAGCCAGAATTTGAACCCACATCATCTCCATCCAAAGCACACACATCCTTTTTTACCACCAGCACTCTAAAAAGATTTCTTAAAAATCTGGAGTGTGCTGTCATGCTTTCGTGGTATGGTGCTAGATTAACTAGCACACTTTGCTTGAGTTTTGTACACCCATCCATTTTCACTTCTCCATTTCGAGAATTTGTCACTGAAAAGGCAAGTTGGAATACAGTGAGGGCTGTTCCCCCACCCAACCCCCCATAGTGCAAAAGAGGTCTTTCTAGGGCACTTAGGAGTTCAGGGTTAGCCCAGTACAATAATAACCATGAAGTGCAGAAGGGGAATGCAGCTGATTTTTCCTTGCCAAAATGTTCTTCTCTTTGGTTTATTTCATGGAGGCCTTTGATACCCTTGTGAGAAATTCTGTTATTTCCATAAAAGTCCTAAAGGTAGTAAACTGGAGTTATTTTAAAGTATCTACGCCTTTTCCAACTTCTGAACCAAATTATTTGCATAAAATCTGGAGAAAAATGTTTGGTTTTGCTTGTGGTACCTGCATTACTTGGTTTTTCTAATTGGTAATAGTGACTTTTCAATAAACTTCCATGGTGCTTTTATCCACTGACAATTTCAGAAGAACTTAACATACCGATTAATGTTTGAAAATTTCAGGAAAACAGGGAAGTAGAATTTTAAGTTAACTTCAGGACATGAATCCAGACATTTACAAAGTGACAGATACATGTTTGAATTTTGTAAAAGAGTAAAGGAAGATTTCTATTTTTCTACTTTTCTACTCCTTTATTAAAGATTCTTATGGGGGTTTTTTGTTGATCTAATTTTATAGATCAAATACAGTACTGGTAAAATTTTAATATATGTTTTGGATTTTCTTGTACACTATGTGACCAAAGCATTTTATATGTGGAATATCTACATTTTTAAATTCTAAGTTTGCCTTTCCATAAAAGGTCAAGCTTCAGGTTAAATGAAGGTCTAGCTTCCCAGGTGGTACAGTGGTAAAGAATCTGCCTGCCAGTGAGGGATATGCAAGAGACAAGGTTCAATCCCTGGGTCGGGAAGATGCCCTAGAGTAGGAAATGGCAACCCACTCCTATATTCTTTCCTGGAGAATTCCATGGACAGAGGAGCCTGGCAGGTGCCAAGAGTTGGACATGACTGAATGACTGAGCAGCTACTGTAACATTGACCTTTGGGTCCTACCTATTTAAGTTGATGCTTTCTATCCTTGGATTCATGGACATCAAGGGAGTGTTTAGCTCATCTGTAAACTCCCCAAAATAGTGTGTAAATTATCGCTAGTGTGTGCATTTTTATGGGAAGCAAATCCGTTGCTTTTCATGATTCTCAAAGAGGTCTGTGACTCCCCCTTCCCTTCTCCTCTCCCTCATCTCTTCCCACCCAGGTGCAAAAATAATATTAAGGATCATTGGTTTAGATTATTACAAAGGAGTTGTTTTGTTTGAGCAAAATCTTTTGCCTAGAGGCTGACTTCTTTGGGTATTTTTTGCACAGGCTCAGTCTGGATCAGTTGACCTGGGCTTGGGGGCACCCTTCTGCATCCCTGAGGATGGCTTCTAGGCAAGGGTTACCCCCAGATTCTTCCCTGTCTTGTAGTTGGGAAGCTGTTTCATACCTTTGCCCGTTGTCTGTGCAGCCTGATAGAGTGAAGGTTGCAGCAGGTGACAAGACAGTCTTGAGAGTCCAGGGCCTCTTGGTCTTAGCCATCTGCCTCTGCAGATGGGACTGGAGGGGGTGGCCGTGGCAAAAGCTCCTGATACTTTCTTGCTTTGAATTTTACTTCTTATTCATTCTGTTAGTGCTTCATTCAATATGTTAGGAGGAAAAGGGTTTTCTTTCTGACCCTATAAGCAGAACAGTTAGAAAGAATCTCCTCTCATTTTTATATTCCCCAGACATT